TCGGGTGGCATGTTTCCTACTGAATACCAATTCTTATGTTTTTTTTTTTATAGTCTTTGGGTATTCATTATTACCCATAATGTTCTTTTTTACCCCACATATGAGAGAGATCATTCTGTGTCAGTCTGTCTCCCACTGACTAAAAACAAACACAAACAAACGAAACACTTTTTCTTTCTAGCTAGATGATAAAAATCTTTTTTGGGGAGTTGCTTTTTTTGGTTTTAGGGCCATACTCAGGAGTGTTCTGAGCTTTACTCCTGCCTCTGTGCTCAGGGGTCACTCCTGGCAGTGCTTGAGGGACGATTATGGTGCTAGGAGTAAACTGAGGTTGATTAACCCCATGTACTGTCTCTCTGGGTTAATCCACTGTCTCTACTGTCATCATTAAATCCTTAAGTATAGGATTTTACTTCATTAATTTTTAAATTTTGCTGCTCCTGTGGATCTGTAGCTTAGAGCTGTAAATTGTCAATATTCAATACTCCAGAATGAATACATGAATTAAAATTATAGCCTGTAAGCATGGTGTTAATGAGACTATGCTGTTCAGATTCAAACTTCAAGGAGTCAGCTACGGCTAGGCAGTATGAGATGTGCAGACTAGTGTTCTGGAGGACTAGAAACACTACAGTGAAGAGCCTGGCATAAATCTCTACACAAGACTTTTGTCACTACATTGATGTTATCTGATTTCCCCCGCCTCCCCCCACCCCCATACAAGTTTCTTTTCTCATCAGCTCAGAGGTGCTGGGGTGTGTGTGGGGGGGGTGGGGGGTGGCATGGGGTGGGGGGGGCTCTCTTCCTAACTTACAGACAGCCCCATTCTTGCGTGTGCCCACAGGATCCTCTGTGTATGTGGAGAGAGCTTTGGTTTCTGTCTCTTCTATGAACATTGGCTCCTTGTGCTTAGGGCCCCACCTTGTGCTCTCCTTTAACTTTATCTCCACAAAGGTCTTATCTCCAATGCCTTTCACTGACAGTTGCAGCTTCAGTATTGGAGGCCGGGTATGGCAGGGCACACAATTTAGTTCCTGATACATAGTACTCTTCCCATTTTACAGATGTAGAGTTCGCTATTCAAAGGAGTAAATTTCTATTCTTTTCTCTTAAAAAATTTTTTTTTTGTTTTTGTTTTTGGGCCACACCCAGTGATACTTAGGGATTACTCCTGTCTGAATTCAGGAATCACCACAGGCAGTGCTGAGGGGACCATATGTGCTGTCGGGAATGGAATGGAACCTGGGTCATCTGGGTACACGGCAAATAGCCTGCCCGCTACAGTTCTCGCCAATCCTGTTTTCTGTTCTTTTGTGAAGCCTGGCTGTGCTCTCAGAAGTGTCTGACTCTTTTATCTGCACAGGTTCCTCTTTTCCTTGTAGCCTAAAGGATCTCAACCATCCAGTCTTCACTTGAGATATTTTTCTGCTCAGACCCTTTTCTTTAGATGGGGCCGATGGGACTCTTTCTAACAGTTGACTTTTCACCCCTGTTTTTCTCACCCTTCTGCGTTTGCCTATCTTCTGTTATTTTATAATTATCTAAGGATTATAGATAATTGATTACCCCTCCCTCCACCACATCACAAAATAGAAATTATAACATAACCAGATTTTCCTTTCCAGCTTGGGCTGTGGCTGGGGAATGGAAGACTTCTGAGTGTACAGCAAATTCCAGGTGGGGTTATTTTGCTGTCTTCCCACCAGAAAGCAGGTTATTATTTTCCAGAGGAATACTTTAATATTGTTATAACTATTCCGTGTTTCATGACTTCCACCTCCTCATGGCTTCATTGTTTCATGTCTTCTCTCTTACCAACTCAATCAAATTGTTATTTCTATCTTAGCTCACATGGACAGGATTTGATTGGTTCTGTCAGTCAGCATTTCCTTCTCTCGCTGGCCAATCTTTGGCCTACTGTCATGTTTCAGTCCTGTGCAGTGGAAAGTGTTCTCTTATCTAACACAGCTTGATGAAACTATTTTTGAGAAAGCTTTTCTTCTCCTGTTAACTTCTCTCCTGGAAGGCAGTCTAGTATTCTGATAAGCCGTCAGGTTCTGGAGTAAGAGCATGGGGTCCATTTAAACCATTTCTGCTACTTACTAGCAATGTGACTTTGGGCACATTTAATTCAGTCATTTCCCTGAACCTCAGTTTCCTCACAACTAACATGGGATTGAAACACAACTGTCATTTCTGAGGGTTGTGAAGATTCAGTGAGTTGAAACATATGGAGTCCTTAGCACAGTGCATGTACATACTAAGTACCCAGTGAATGTTAGTCTTCTGTTTGATTGGTCATTTGAGTGTTCTTCCCCTCCAGGAAGAAAAATGTCAATTATTTTGCCAAGGATATAATTTATTACTTATTTAATTAAAAAATCGTATTTTATGGGAGGGGGCACACCTGGCTGTATTCAGGGCTTCCTCCTAGCTCTTAGCTCAGGGGTCACTCCTGGTGAAGCTTTGGGGACCATATGTGGACCATATGTGCAATAACTTTGTATCTCAAAACCATAAACCTTAACATTATTGCAGCCATGTTGCTTAAACAATAACAAAATATAAATAAACTTACAAATAATTATTCTCAATATCTGTTTTATGGGTGATCAAATAGTACTCTTATAAAGGCTATTAATTCCCAATAGAATTAATCAATTCCAGATGAGTTCTATTGGCAATCATTGGGGGTGCAAATTCATAAGCGAGAGTTATCTATCAATTACTTGGATGGATAGATGAGGAATGATGTGTGAGTGAGGGCACCATGATTGAAGTATTTGACTGGTCAGGACAGGGGCAGGAGCAGAGCAAGAAGATTACTTCAGGGAGCAGATATTTTGACTCCACCTTTAAAAGGAAAGGCATGTACAAAGGCATTTCTGGCAGTGGTAACAGCAAGGTAAGAGACAATGTATTCAATCGTCAAATGTGTAATGAGTTGGTGATGCAGCTCAGTGGTAGAGCACTTGCCTTGGACGTCCAGTCCAGGGTTTGGTCCCTGGCAGGGGGCATTAGCCCTGAACACAGCTGGGTGTGGCCCCCAAACAAAAACAAAAAGAGGAAACTTTATTTTTTCTGACAGCAAAAAGTCAGTTGTATGTGCTCATTCTATATGATAAATGGGGGGTTGGGAGGGGCAGACAAACACCCAGAGGTGTTTCAGGAAATTACTGCTCACTGCTTGAGGGACCACCCAGGATGCCAAAGATGGCACCTAGGTCGGCTGCATGCAAGGCAAATGCTCTACTCTGTTGAACTGTCTCTCCAGGCTCAGAATTTCTTTCAATGCAGAATCTAACAGATGTATGGTGTTCATTGTTCCAGTGAAAGAGGAATCTTTTGTGCAATTTTTTTTTTCTGGAAGGGGCTCAAGACTCAGAGACTATAAAACTCAGCTCCCGCATTTGCGGCCGCGCGACATCTTATCATCTCATTCGTACTTTGGACAAACTGACAAGCTACCGAATGTAACCTGCCCACACAGCAGAGTCTGGCAAACTCCCCGTGGCGTACCCAATATGCCAAATACCAGTAACAATGAAGGGTCTCATTCTCCTAACTTTGAAAGAGCCTTGAATATGGCACTTTTTAAAAAATCTCAGGGTTAGGACAAAGGAGACGTTACTGGGGCCTGCTTGAGGCAATCGACAAATAACAGGATGGTCGTGATCGTGATCAGAAGGGGCTGGCTTTGAGCCCCATGAGGTGGTGCCCAGGGTTCATTCACTACCGACTGGGCTCGGGGACAGTATGTGGTGCCAGGATCAACCCGGGTCAGGGGCAGGCAAGGCAAATGTCCAACCCGCTGTACTATCGCTTCTGCCCCTGAATTTTTAATTTTTATTTTTTAAGTGGGTAAGAACGTGAGCGGTTGGAAGACAACAGGTGTTTGGGGTTGAAAAAAAACCAAGAACAGGACCTCCTATATATCATCCATCAAATGAACAGCACAGAGAAAAGTGAAATCTGGGATTCTCAGTGTTATGACAAACAAGAGACTGCAAATAAGAAACTATGTAATGAGAATTATGAGACTGTAGTGAGAACTAAGACACTGAAACCAACCCCAATGTCAGCCAGAGAACAAAGAGTTTTTTTTGTTGCTTTTGTATGCTTGGAATATCACATTCCACTCAAGTGAGAGAAGGAATCTGGAGTTCCAACCTCCGTTGGCGATCAAGAATCAGGGACGCTGTCTCATTTGCCAAGCCGTTGAAAATCAAATGAGCCGGACATGTAATGCAATTTAGAGACAACCACTGGACTAGAGCTGTTACCAACTGGGTTCCACAGGATGTCAAAAGGACGCGTGGCTGCCCACCTACGAGATGATCAGACTTCTTTGTCAAACCCCTGAACAAACAGTTTGAGGCTCTTGGTATTCCTAAAGAGAGCAGATGCCATTACGCTACACTAGCACGCAACAGGGACAAATGGAAAAGTTACTGGTGCCCGCTCCAAGCAAATCGAAGGTTAATGGGATGACAAGTGATACAAGTGTATGAGCCTAATCAAGTAGGATAAGAGCCTGTCAGACTTAGGAGGATGCATGGAGGGCGACACACCAAGGTCACACCAAGCGGGCAAGAGATACTGACACAGACTTTTTCGGTTTTTTTTTTTGGGGGGGGGCCCTGAAGGCTGGGAAAGATGCTTCGTTTTTTACTTTCTGTAGATTACAGCTCACTCTTAAAAGAATAAAACAGAGACTCTCTCAGCAGACGGGGCTCCAAGTCTCTTTCTCTTCTGACTTGGGGTCCTTAATGCTGAGCTTCTAATAAACTCACTAAGCCTGAGCTGTGTGTGTGTCTCTCAATCGCCGCTAGCGCCGCCACAACCCAGTGAGGGGGAACTGCACGACCGCGCCTTCCCGAGGGCGGGGGAAGGGGGGGGGCAGGGGCAGACGGCCTGGGCGCTGGATTACGGCTGAATTACGGCCCCTGGCGGCCGGGTTCGCGACTCCTGCCGTAAAGCCGTGTGCGGCGCCTGCGCAGCTCCTCTCCCGCGGCCGATCCCGACGCCGTCGCTTCCCGAGCGGGTCTTTCGGAGCGTCCTCGGCCGTCGCCATGGTGAAGCTAAGCAAAGAGGCCAAGCAGAGGCTGCAGCAGCTCTTCAAGGGCGGCCAGTTTGCCATCCGCTGGGGCTTCATTCCTCTCGTGATCTACCTGGGTCAGTGGGAGCGGAGCCGGGGAGGGGGCCTGTGTCGGGGCGCCGAGAGACCCGCGACGTGGCCGGCCCGGCCTCCCAGATGCGGCCGCCTCTCCCCCGTCACCGCCTTTCTTTTCTCCTCAAACGGCGTGGTACAGGCCCCGGGACCCCCGCACCCGCCGTTCCCTCGCTCGTCAGTCAGGTGGAGGTCGCCCTCTTTCGGGTGACCTCGGGCGTGAGGAGGCGACCGATCGGAAGCTTGCTTAGAGACGCTGCGGCGTCACCTCTCGCGTGACCCGGAGGCTTCGTGTCGCCGCCGCCGCCGCGCTGAGGCACAGCCGCGGTCGTGGTGGGAATCCTCTTTTCTGTACAGCAACGAAAGGTTTTCCCGTTTTTTTCCCCTTTTTTCCTCCCTTCCGGACGGGGCTGATTCTAGAGCTCCGGTGGGGCGCCCGAGCGCGCGGGCCGACCCTCCCACCGGGCACCCGGACCCGGAACCCGGTTCCGGTTCTCCCCTGGGCTCGCCTTGTCCTCGTCATCTCGTTGCCGGACTCCGGCGATCCGCCGGCAGGGCAGGCCGCGTACAGACTCCACGCTCGTGGGTTTCTTTCGGTGCCCGTTGCTTCAGCCCTCGTGCCATCACCCCGGCAGAGCCAGTGATTGCGCGCGAGCGGGCCCCGCAAGGCTCCAGGACTGATCGGCCCGGCCCGTGCCACCAGCGTGCACAAGATTTAGAATGACTCCCCCCCGCCCCCCCCCCCCCCCCGGCTCTCCCCTGTTCTGAATGGGTTAGAAATCACGCCCAAATGATCGTGGGCGCCGGTTTAGACTAGATACGTTCTCAGAGCAGACAACTAAGACAACCTGGGGCCAGACAGATGGTGCTGCAGATAGGGCGCTTTCTCCGCCCGCGGAGGACCCGGGTTCCATCCCTGGCACCCCAAATGGTTCCTTGAGCCATGCCAGGAAAATGACCCCCCCCCCCCCCCCCACCCGCGCGCGCGCAGAGCCAGGAATAAAGCCTTGAGCTCCTCCTGGTGTGGCCCTGAAAGCAAAAATAAAGCCCAACAATAGTTGGGACAACGTTCAGTCTGCTTGTACAGCCCAGCCCTTTTCCACAAGGCCCCGTCCCTTATTTCACTTCCTGGCCGCCGGCCCCCATGTGCTTGTCAAACCCCCAGAACCGGCTCTCCTTTGAACAAAGAAGACGTGGGGGGCTTTGAGGTCTTCTGCTTTGTGTTGTCGCCTCCTTTCTCCGTGAGGCTTACTTGGCATCCTCTTACAGTGTCCTTGTCTCTGGCCTCAGTGCTACTCTGGAAACCATTCTCTTGCTTTGAAAGGAGGGAGGATTTGGTTGAATTTGATTTTTTGTTTGTTTGTTTGTTTGTTTACTTGGGTAGTAATTAGTGTTGTTTTCCCCCCCCTCTTTTCCCCCTTCCCTCCCAGGATTTAAGAGAGGCGCCGATCCTGGAATGCCCGAACCGACCGTTTTGAGGTACTGCTTTTAAAAATAAGCTCTCCAGGGCAGGCATTGCCATCCCAATGCGGAATCATGGGAGAGCAGAGCAGTGATGGTGTGGTCATTGGGATGAAGCTTTACTGGCTGGTGTAATTTCAGCTGGAGAGAAACTGCCAGTCCACAGAGCAGTCTTAACTGGTTAGCAGCTAACTGCTTTCTCTTTCCTGCCTGCACCCTGTCACTCCCATGGGCAGTGTATTTGGAAGGAAAAAGGACTAATCACCCCACCATATTTTTAGGGGGTTGTGTTTTTTTGTGTTCTGGTTTTATTTAGAGTCTTTGGAAATACACTAGTATGCTGACTTATTTTTTTTATATTCATATAGGGAAACCATTAAAAATTAAAACTAATTTATAGTTTATGTACCTAATTTTCTGTTTCTAACTTTTATCAAGTTAGGGAAGGACCTATACAAGGGCACTCAATTTTTTTTTTGAAGGGGAGTGGGGATTTGCAGGACACTCCATTCCAGGCAGTGCACAGGGCTTACTCCTGACTCTGTGCTTAGGGATTGTTCTGGGTTGGCTTAGGGTACCATGTGTTATGCAGTGTTGAATCCAGGTCAGCACACGCAAGACAAATTCCATACTATCTTTCTAGACCCTTCTATTTCTATTTTTTATTATTTTACTTAGGTATTGTGATTTGCAATGGTTTCAATAACAGCTTCAGACAATCATTCCAGTTCCAAATCTACCATCAGTATCAGTGTCCTTGCGTTGTCTTAAGGTTCCCTTCCTCTCCCCATCTCATCCTTTATTAAACTCATTAAAACAGTTTAAAAAATTAATATAGTTTGGATCACCTGTTTACAATAGCATTTCCACTTCTGGTTTTGATGTACAGTTACCTTGTCCCTAAGCTATCAAAATGTCAGGCCAGTTCACAGCTCACCTCTTCACCCCCCCCACCCCCCAAATTTCTCCTCATCGTACTGCTTTAAATGTTGGACTACTTCTTTTTTTCCTTTTTGGCCACACCCTGTGCACTCAGAGATGCACAGGGGTTATTCCTGGCTCTTCCTTCACTCAGGAATTACTCCTGGTTGTGCTCGGGGGACCATATGGGATGCTGGAAATTGAACCCGGGTCGGCCACATGCAAGGCAAACACCCTCCCCGCTGTGCTATCACTTCAGCCCCAATGTTGAACTACTTTTAACTTTCCATATTCCCATCTTTTATTCAGTACAAATTGTGATATCATTCTAAAAGAGTACATAGGATTTTGTTTTCTTCACATAAAATTGGCATCTCTTGTACTTTTGCTTTTCAGTTATTAGTATTTATATCAATATAAGAGCATTTTGGTACACGTAGATTTTATAGATTTTGATTTATTTCTTGATAAAAATTCTCATTTGTTAAAAATCAGTGTATGAAAATTTATGGCTTGTCAGATTTCTTTCTCAGAAACCGTTTTGCCAGTGGTGGCTACATGCTTGCGAAAACATAACACTTATTAACTCCTGGACATACATGTGTACTAAGTGTATGCTTGTGAATGTCACCTGTACAGGAGGACAGGAAAATAGATGAAAGGGCACAGTGTGGAGCAAGCAGGTTTGCTCTGAGGGAAGGACCTATACAAGGGCACTTAGGACCAGGATGACCTGTGCAGGTGCTGTGCCATCCCAGTGCACATCCTCTGTCTTCCAGGTAATTCTTGTGGATTGCCTTGGTAAACTTTTCACTGGCTATCCTAGGATTTTATTTTTTTCAGACTCCTACTCTAAGCCACCTTTTTTCAGAGATGGAAGTAAGAATGGTATTAACATATACAATGTGTCAGCACTGTTTTAGATGCTTTGTAAATCCTGACTCTTAAGTGTCACTTAAGTCCTTCAGAAGGTTTGGGCAGAGTAGGTAGTGGAGTTTTTCTGTTTTGAAGGCCTTTACTCTTTTTGTTTGTTTGTTTTGGGGCCATACCTGGCAGTGCTACGGAGACCATATCGTGCTCAAGGTCAAAAGGCCCATGCAAGGCAAGTGCCTTAACTCCTGTACTTGTTCCACCAGTCCCTAAGGCCTAAACTTTCCCTGGCTCACAGGGCTGCTTCCATGTATCTTATCTCTTAGCATTGTGCCATCTGATTTGAAATTTTTGCCCTCCATTCTTCCTTGTAGGCCTTTTTGCATAGAAAAAGGTGTGTTTTTTTAAAAAATTTCTTATAGGTAATTACCAAATTTACCTCTAACTTCACTGTTTCTGCAGTTCTCTTTTCTCTGGTAAAATTCCTTAGTTAATGGTCTTCATTCACTGAATGGTATGACTTCTTAAAATGGCTTTCAGAGGTCTTCATTAGGTTGCTCTCTTTTCTTTACTTTTTGGGGCCTCACCCTGTTTGAGGGTGAGTAACCTGCTCAGGGGTTACTCATGGCCAATGCTCAGGGAACCATATGGGATGCTGGGAATTGGACCCAGATTGGTCACATGCAAAACAAGCTCCTTAGGTGTGCTATCTCTCCAGCCCAATTGCTCTCTTAGTTGTATACTCCTTGAACTCTTTATTTCCTTTTCTGTAAAATGGGATGAAGTAATATCTCTGCTACTTATTTGCTGAATGACTTTAGGACAGTTAATTTCCTTATGGAAATGCTGCCTTAGGAAATATCTGAGCTTGGAGCCAGAATCATCATAGAATGTTTACTTTGCATGTGGCCGACCGGGGTTCCATCCCCAGCATTCCATATCATTCACCATGCCTTGCCAGGAATAATTCTTGAGTGCAGAATAATTCTCAGAGTATCCCCTGCGCACTATCAGGTGTGGCCCAAAATCAAAAAAAAAAAAAGGAGAGAGAAAAGGAAATATCTGGGGCTGGAGCAATAGCACAGCAGGTAGGGCGTTTGCCTTGCATGTGGTCGACCTGGGTTCGATTCCCAGCATCCCATATGGTCCCCTGAGCACTGCCAGGGGTAGTTCCTGAGCGCAGAGCCAGGAGTAACCCCTGTGCATTTCCAGGTGTGACCCAAAAAGCAAAAAAAAAAAAAAAAAAAGAAAAAAGAAATGTCTGACCTGGGACTGTATCAGTTCCAGTGGACATTTTTTTTTCTTTCTTTTTTTTTTTTGCTTTTTTGGGTCACACCTGGCAATGCACAGGGGTTACTCCTGGCCCTGCACTCAGGAATTACTCCTGGTGATGCTCAGGGGACTATATGGTTCGATGCTGGGAATCGAACCCGGGTCGGCTGCGTGCATGACAAACGCACTACCCGCTGTACTATTGCTCCACCCCCCAAAGCCTTTAACTCTTAATAGCTCAGTTCTTTGAACGAGTTCTTAACTTCTGTTGTCCTTGACCGTTTGTTATTCACATACTATATTTTGTTATTTCCTACATAAGAGGTATGGGTGAGTGGAAAGGGGAATGTTTGGGAGGGGACACTGAAGCAGCTAGTTGAAGGAAGCAGACACTGGTGGAGGCTGTGATGTTGGAGCGTTGTATGCATAAAACCCCACTGTTAACAGTATTGCACATCACGGTGCTTCAACTTATATATGTATGTATTATTTATATTTATTTACATTTATATATATACTTTTTGTATATATTTAAATCTTTTTTTATTGAATCACCCTGATATACAGTTACAAAGCTTTAATGATTGTCAGTCATACAATGTTCTATCACGCATTTTTCCCCCAATACACATTTCCTACCACCAATGTCCACACTGTCCCACCACTCCCACCACTCCCACCCCACTCCTGCCTCTATGGCAGGCACTTATTTTCTTACTCTCTCTCTACTTTTGGACATTATGCTTTGCAATACAGATACTGAGAGGCCATCGTGTGTGTGTGTGTGTGTGTGTGTGTGTGTGTGTGTGTGTGTGTAAAATACAAAAGTAAAAGACTTTAACCAAGTGGCAAGTGGTTCTGTGGATATGAATCAATATAGCATTGCATTTTATGATACACTTTTTAGACTGACTTGCTTGCTGGTAAATTGTGTGTGTATGTATGTGTATTTTCTAGATTATTGAGGATCCAGAGGTGAGAATAAAATGTGTTCTTTTTGGCTTCAGTTATCCCAATGATTTCTTTTACTCTCTTGGAGTTGTAAGCTAGAAAAAGGTCCTCCTGCCTCTTGTTTATCTTAAGTTGTTGTCTTTGTAGTTCTCTTCTTTCTGGACTTAACTTTTTTTCTTCTTTTATTAAGGTATCATTAGAGGCATCTTCTCATTTTCTTTCTGGAAAATGTTTGTGTTTTTGTTAAGAGTTGATTGCCTAAAATGGGTTATCTTGTTAAAAGAACAGAATTGCATTTGTTGGGATTTAAAATTTTTCTCAGGTGTGGGCGAGTTTAAAGAGATAATATGGAGATAGTGGGCTAGAGTGATAGCACAGCAGTAGGGCGTTTGCCTTGTGCGCAGCCTGCTCAGCCGAGCCGGGTTCAATTTTTCCACCCCTCTCAGAGAGCCCTACAAGCTACTGAGAGTATCTCACCCGTACGGCAAAACCTGGCAAGCTACCCATGATATATTCAATATGCTAAACACAGTAACAACAAGTCTCAAAATGGAGATGTTACTGGGCCCGCTCAAGCTAATTGATGAACAATGGGAGGACATGCTCTTCTTCTATGGAGATAGTGTAGCTTGCCTTGCATGAGGCTAACCTGGGTTTGATCCCTGACACTGTATATGGTTCTCTGCGTACTGTCAGGAGTGATCCTTGAGCATAGAGCCAGGAGTAAGCCTTGACTTATATGTGTGGTCCCCCAAACAAAACAAAACAAAGCACATTTATTAATAGGAAATTGTTTAATACATTTTTTGCATTGGTCATGATAAATTTCTTTGCCATGTGTTGGAATTAGAACCAGCTTCATCTTCATTTTCTCTTTTGCCCAGCATGGTACATAGATAGCAGGTACTGTAACCTGTTGAATGCTTATCAGAAATGCAGTTCTTCTGTCAATAAAGGACTATGTTTTAATAAGACTACTATTTAGAAAAATATATAAATACTGAGGTTTACAAAGAGAATTATTATTCCCCATAATCTATCTTAGGTTAAGAATGATCCTTTTTCTTTATTTTGGTTGCTTATTACTATTGGAGGAGACCTTAGAGAGGGAAAACGTAGATTTAATGGACATTTGAACATTGGAGGTAGATGCATGTTTTTTCCCCCAGGGTGAAATCTTTCAAAAGTTAACTTAATGGAATGTTCAAATTGTCATTTTTGTGCAGTTGATTCAAGTTGATAAATTACTAGAGACTAAAAATCAACAGCACTTTGAAGTAATATTACCCTTTTTCCTCCTTGCTGAATGCTGTTGCTTAATCCAACAGATGACTTGGGATTTAGGACTAGTCAGTGGCAGGAATACTTGGGGTAAGAATTGTGGTAGAAGTGAAGGAATGTGTGGACTAGTTGAATCTCAGGTCACATCCTCCCTTGATATATGGACATCACAAAACTTTTTGTTTCCGCTTCTTTAAATGGGGAGTTGTGCAGACTTTCGTAGTGTCTCAGCCTGGCCTACAGGTATTGCCTAAGTAGACGTTATTTTTATTACTGGGATCACATTTAACATGTAGCATTTATTTTCAGAATGCATTAGTCTTTTTTCATATTATAATTTCTATTTTATCTTGTTTTATTATCAGTTTACATTTCCTTTCTTGTTTATAACAATCCAACCACACTTAATAGTAACTAAATGCGAATTTGTATATTTGATTTTTCCCCTTTTTTGCTCAGTGAGATTGATTCTTATGGTCTAGTAACTAAATTTGATAGATGAATAAACACACACATAAGAAATGTAACATCTAATTCTTGTTATGTTTGAGAAGTTTTATTTTGGGGATTTAATTGATTTCTCCTCTTCACGAACATTTTAGCTTACTCTGGGGCTAAAGGACTGTTTGATCATCTGAATTTGGACACAGTCAATGGACGGGAACAACATGCAAGGTATACGCTCTGGCTGGGATAAGAGATGGGACGTCGTTCAGACACTCACCAACTGGATGGCACATGGCTCTTACTTCACAGATGCGTATGTGGCGGAGTGGAACCTCTATGGATTTATTTATAATAGATTGTATCAAAATAAATGTTTTTAACAGTGTTCTGTCTTCAGTCCTTTTTTAATTGAACAAGATAAACTATTAAGAAGGAAGCCTGTAGTACTTTTCAAAACAATCTATATGTGCCTAGATGTAGTCCTAAAAAATATGAATACTTCCAAGTTTATTTCTGCCTATTATACATAACAGGTAGATTCCAATTTATTGTTGCAGTGAATTACTGACTTCCTGTGGGTTACTGGTTCTCATTTGAGACACACTAGGTGGACCCTTAACTTTCTGTACTGTGTTGGAGTGAAGTTCGACTGAAAAAAAAATTGTAGTTCTGTGACTGTTGATAGGGAACGAGAATGCCATCCAGGAGTTGATTTTAGTCTGAGTCTAAGATTTCCCTCAGTAGTGAGCTGACTGCTAGTTTTCAGTTTTAAATCCTGAATTTCTGGGATCTTTATCTGTTTTTAAAATCTATTTTTTTGTTTTTTTCGTAATTCTAACAAAATAGCTTGAATTCGTAGATTTGGGAATTCTAGTTAATGTAGGAAGAAAAGTGGGCTTGAAACGAGATATGACACAGTTTGGGAGTAGCCCATTATATGGGTGTTTTAAACACCTAATGTTTAAGTGGGTTAAGAATGATCCTGAATGTAATCTTAAGTAACTGGCAGCTATTGTTACCAGAAAGATATTTCTAATGTAAAAACCCTCTTAAATTGTTCAAGCCTCTTAAGTTTTGTTACTTTTGCATGTCTGAGACAATTATGGTGCCTTATTGCCTAAGAGGAATTTAAAGTGGACTCGTTAGGAAAATCTTTTGGTAAGTATTTCAATTTTTTTTTTCACATCTCCATGAATTTTGGCACATAGAATTTTGCTAAGACCTTTTAAGTCCCAGAGAATGGCTTAAGATTGCGTTGTGTCCTCCCATCCTGTCTGCTAAATATTAGTTTGGCTCAAAACCACCTTTTTTTGAGATGGGAGGCAGGCTACACTGCTGTGCTGGGGCCTACTCCTGGCTCTGTTTTGGAGGTAGCTCCTGGAAGTGCTCAGGGAACCATATAGTGGTTAATAATCCAACCATATTGAATTATGGTTGGCTGCTACAAAACAAAAGCTCAAATCCCTGTACTCTCTCTGGCCCTTCAAAACTTTTTGATATGTAACAAACTAGAATATATAGGAGATAAATCTTAGCCTTTTAAATGTTCTGCACTCTCAGATTGCTAAAATGTAGAATGGTTTAGAATGTCAATTTGGAAATTGACATCAATTTTTTTTTTTCCTTTTTGGGTCACACGCAGGGATGCTCAGGGGTTACTCTTGGCTCATACACTCAGGAATTACTCTCGGCAGTGCTAGAAGGATCATATGGGATGCTGGGAATCGAACCCAGGTCTGCCGCGTGAAACGCCTTACCCGCTGTGCTATCACTCCAGCCCGGAAAATTGACATCTTTGAGTCATCTATAAATGACAGGATTTAGAATTTCCTGAATACAGGTTTACTTAGATTACTGCATGGCCTTCTGACTTAGAGTGCCAAATATGTCCTTTTCTTTGAAAAAGAAAAACAGGAACCTCTTAAAAGATCATTATTTCCAAAGTAAGAAAAATCTCGTCCACAGTGGAGACTCAGTCTTTTGTGCTGAAGAGAGCTCAGCTGACAGTTTACATACCTTTCGTGCAGGAAACGCAGGTTTGATTTGCAGCACCACACGTTTCCCTGAACATCACCAGGTGTCGCCCAAAACACATGAAAACCACAGCATAAGCAAGGAAATAATGTCCAGTGAAGACAGATTCCTAGATTCTGGCAGTGGACCTGAGGTTACTATGCAAGGTGCGGGGGAGGGAGGGCCCTGGGAAGGTCTGGGAACAATAGAAGACTATTGACACTTCGGTGGTGGGTGTGTTATGAAAGTGTCTATAAATATTTATACCATTGTAAGCTGTGTTACCTCAGTTACATGCTCACTGCATGTAAAGCATCGTTACGATAAACTAGTCCATGCATTGAAATGGCTTCTGTTTTTTTCCCCCTTGGTTTTTGGGCCATACCTGGTGGTGCTCAGGTATCACTGCTAGTAGGCTTGGGGGGACCATATGGGGTGTCAGGGATTGAACCTGGGTCAGCTGCCTGCAAGGCAAGTTGCGGCTATATGGGCTGTATTATCTTTTCAGTCCCTTGAAACAGCTTCTGAAATTGCTTTCAGTGGTCCCTGCCTTAGGATATTTCTGCCTGTTGTTTGTAAGGGCCGCCTTAACAGAATACCATAGACTGGATGAGTTAAATCCAGAAATGTGTTTTCTCATTGTTCTGGAGGCTGGAAGCCGAGATGTTGACAGGTATGGTTCTGTGGCAGCTGTTCTCACTTTGTCTTCTGGCATCTGTCTTCTCACTGTGTCTTCACCAGACCTCTGCCCAGGCATCCCTGGTGTCTTCCTCTTCTGCGGACACCAGCTGGATTAGGGCCCCAGCCATATGACCTCTATCTCTTTATAACTTTGTTATAGCAATTGTAGTATAACCCAGTTTAGTCCGTAATAGTTGTAACCCTCTCTTAAGAATGTGGGGTGGCCCTCGTGATTTGTTTTAATGAGTCAAATACAACAAAGGCGATAAGCTGCTTATGTCTTCCTCTATATCTATTTCTTTTTTCTCTTTCTGCCTCTAGATCTTTTCACTTGTTTTGGTGAAAGCAAACTGCTTTCTGGGGGCTGCTGAGGAAGAGGCCACTTCACCAGCATCAGAGGGTCCACTCACGCCTTGATTGCAAGCTGGTGAAAAACAGCCAGCTCAGGTACCCTTGACTCCGAGTCACTGAAACTTGAGATAATAAAGGTTGTTTTAAGTCATTGAACTGTGGAGTAAGTTGTTCTATTGCAATAAATGTGCTCTATAAATTTCTAAAGAGTGCTTCTTATTTCAGTATTGTTGAAAATAAATAATGATTTCTGCTTATTTCTTTCCAAATATCTGTTTTATTCCTCATAGCAACCTGTTTTTATCCTGTTTACAGAAAAGGAATAGGTTTCCAAGCCTGAGATAATATGTCCTGGGTGGTACTTGTAGAAAGTAGAGTGGGAATTGGAGCCTCTGGACTGACTCCAGACCTGCTGGCCAAGACAGGGTACGTGATTTGTGAAGCCTGGTGGAAAGCAAAAATGTGGGGCTTTTTGTTTAAACATTGTCAGTTTCAAGGTGGTGACAGCGCAGTTTGAAACCAAGTTCATGGTTCTTTGAATCTGAGTTTTTCTTTCTATTTTTCTTTTTGGGTCACACCCAGTGATGCTCAGAGGCTCTGCACTAAGGAATTACTCTGGCAGTGCTCAGGGGACCATATGGGATGCTGGGAATCAAACCCGGGTTGGCCGCATGCAAGGCAAAAACCTTACCCGCTGTGCTTCCCTGAATGTGGGGTTTAGTGTGACGGCTCAGACAGCTTGCCTATTAAGCCTGTCCAGGTGTGGGACGTCTACTTATTAGATAATTTTGCTTCCTACCTCCAAGTAGGAGAATGTACAGATGAAGAGACTGACACCAATTAGGAAATGGTGTCCTCGTTCTCAGTCTGCAGTTCCTTTCTCTATGTCACACTGCCTCTCTTGAGTAGTAATTGGTATTTCTTTTTTTTCTTTTTTTTTTTCTTTTTGGGTCACACCCGGCGATGCACAGGGGTTACTCCTGGCTCTGCACTCAGGAATTACTCCTGGCGGTGCTCAGGGGACCATATGGGATGCTGGAGTTGGCCAGGGTCGGCCGCGTGCAAGGCAAACACCCTACCCGCTGTGCTATCGCTCCAGCCCCAGAAATTGGTGTTTCTAACTTAACAACTTGCTAGCCATTGATGCCTCTGTAAGGTATTTTTCCTGCCGATGGACTCTTCTTCCAGTGAGTTTGGGCAAACAGAGAAGCCTTGGTGCTTTACTGGCCACGTTCTGGTATTTTACTGAAGGGGTATTGCACACAGGCCCGAGGAACTCTGTTCATTGTTCCAACGCCACCTAGTGAGATGCTTCATATCTTGACAGCTGTTTCCGCAATGACTTCCTGTGTTGGGAAGGTTAGCCTAGTAGTCCTGGCTTGTCCAAATCCCATATATCTTAATATATGGGTCTTTAGGCCTGATCCAATACAGATCTTGGAGATAATCTCTGGATTTCTGGAATATCCTGCCTGATTAGAGTATATTTGAATACACAAGGCCTTGTTTACACAAGATATATTAACAATTTGAAAATGTTTATGATGAACTCCTGTTTTTCTTTAGCTGGGACCTCAGGCTATATTGTATGAATGTGTGTGTATGTGTGTGTTTGTGTGTGTGTGGCTGGAGTGATAGCACAGCAGGTAGGGTGTTTGCCTTGCATACAGTCGACCTTACCAACCCGAGTTTGATTTCTCCTCCCCTCTCAGAGAACCCGGCAAGCTACTGAGAGTATCTCGCCCACATGGCAAAGCCTGGCAAGCTACCCGTGATGCATTCAATATGCCAAACACAGTAACAACAAAGTCTCACAACGGAGATGTCACCGGGCCCACTCGAACAAATTAATGAACAACGGGAGGACAGTGCTACAGGACTGATAGATTGAAGTCAATAGTAGTGTGAGACTTTCTCAGATCAGGAATTGGTCTGTATTTACTATTTGCTTTGGCTTTAATATCGGTCACGGTCAGACACGGTCCTCCTGTTGTTCATTGATTTGCTAGAGCTGGCCCAGTGACGTCTCCATCATGAGACTTGTTGTTACTGTGTTTAGCATATCGAATACGTCACGGGTAGCTTACCAGGCTTTGCCGTGCGGGCGAGATACTCTCAGTAGCTTGCCGGGCTCTCCGAGAGGTGCTGGGCTCTCCGAGAGGGGCTTTAATATCACGTGATAATTCTTTTAGTCTCCTCTTTGTTTGTTCTATCTGAGGTTTCCCTGGAGACTTAATCTCTAAGAGTGTCTAAGACTGGTGCTTCTCTCATCTAGAATTCCCTCTTACTGTATCAGAGCTCTGTTTGTGGAAGAGTGGGAAAGGAATAGATTTATAGCCC